ATATAGAAGTTTTTTTCCCCAAACCTCATGATTCAGAATCCAAATGTCTGTGTCACCTGTTTGATAGTATAAAAGCTCTAACAATCTTTACTTAATTTGTTCTATTACAAAAATTTCTGTAACTCTTCAGTGTGTATTCTTGAAGAAGTATATGTTTTCTGAGAGAGAGAGAGTGAAAGTGACTAGGCTTTATCAAAACTGTTATTTTGATAATATCAATACTGAATTCAAGACCACTTTGAATTTAAGATTACCCCCTCCCCAATAATTAGACTCCATTCATGGAAAAATTATAAATGTGTTATAATTTCCCATGTATAGAATCTAATTATTGGAGAGTTGTCTTAAATTTGTCCTTTCCACACAGTTTTGCAGCAGGGAAAGCAGTGGCAAGGAGGCAAGCAGTGGGGGGGAGGAGTCAAGTGGCCTGACCCCTGTCCTTTGGAGCTTGCTCCCTTGCCAGCTGTCTCCCACAACACATGCCCTCTCTTCTTGCCATCTGGCGCCTGTTTCCCCTTGTCACCTGTGCCCCTGGGGCCTTCCTCCATACTGCCTTCTCCTTCCTATCTGTACCCTCTGGCACCTGCCCTCTCTGCTTTCCATGCCCTGTCCTCCCTGGTGCTTGTGCCCCAGAAGTGCCTCTCCCCCTGCTGCCTATTCCCTCTGTATCACTGCTTCTTACTCTCCATTGTGACTCCAGCTCTGGCTCCAGACAGGCAGACAGCAATGGTGGCCTGGGAGCAGCTCTGGTCCCAGGTTGGTCCTTTGTTCATTATTAGAAAACCAAGTCTCTATGTATGTGGAATTAGGTAATAGCGAGCATTTGTGCCCTGTACTTCTGGATACTAATGTAGCTCAATTAATAAATAAAAATAACAACACTGTTCTACTTAAGGGATGCCTTATATCCTCTTGGGTTTTAATCTAGTTTAGGAGATCTATTATAATATAGAAAGATTTTTAAAAACTAAATAAAGCTCTATTAAAATAGCTATGTATTATTACTCTGCCCATTAACTACATTTTAATTCTTAAAGGAACTTGGAAAGTTTACATGGATAATATTTTTATTCCCCCTCTCTCCCATATCCATTCCCAGGCTTGGGAAACGCAACACACCCTTGCAACATAGGGCTACCTAAAATTTTAATGATGTATTATCCATTATTAAAATTCCTCTCAAAAATATACTGGTAGCATTTGAAACTGAAAAGAAAGAAGGAAATAGATACTTGGCATTTCTGTTAGTATACTAGGGCAAATCTACCCCTCCTGAAGTCAGTGAGCAATAAACTCATACTTGATGCAGCTAAGGAAAGGGAAACTCCCTAGTGTAGGGATGCGACCCAACATCGTCATCACAAATGAAGAGGCCAAGAAGGTCTTCATTGTGGACGTAACCATCCCCTTCGAGAACTGGGGCCAAGCTTTCACCGACGCCTGGGCTCACAAGCAGGAGAAGTACACCCCGCTGGCCGACATCCTGAGGGGCCGTGGCCACAACGTGACGGTCGACGTGCTCATCGTGGGAATGCTCGGAGCCTGGGACCCCAGCAACGAGAGCGTCCTGCGTGCCTGCCATGTCTCCCGCCGTTACGCCAAGCTGATGCGCTGCCTCATGGTGTCCGACACCATCCGTTGGTCCCATGACATCTACGTGGAACACATCACAGGCCAACGCCAGTTCTCCAACCCCACCAGACGAATCTCCGCCGGACTGGACCCAGAGGGGACCGCCTGAACCCGCCTCTGCACCAGTTGCACCTTCACTTTGAGAGGATTCTTCAACAGCGGACTACCCCGCTCCACCCAAAGAGGACCGCCGCAATGAGACTCTATATGGACTGAGACACTTTTTTCTTCAAACCACTTCTTCCACCATTGCGGACCATTGTAATGGGTTTGTGTGTATCTATCTTCTTTCTCTGTCAGCGTCGTGAACTCCCTCTCTTCCCTTCTGCCTTCCCCCCGCCCCCGGGCTTAGTTGGCTACTATTGTATGTCCTGTAACCTAGTTGCGTTCCCCTCCTCACCTCCATCCCTCTATTGTTAGTCCCTCGCTTGGGCGCTATGTATTTCCCTACCGGCTTTGTCATCTTTTTTGGATTCACAATCCTAAACATCTACTAATGAAGTAGCTAAAGGGATCCTTTAAGTCAGGAATTCTCAACCATTTTCTTCTTGAGGATCCCTCTAGCATGCTATAGAAACTCCACGGCCCACCTATGCCACAACTGTTTTTCTGCGCATCCAGTAGATTAAATGCTGTATTAAAGTGATAGTTATTCAGTTAAAAACCTATATAGTGTCTAATATAAAAAGAAAAGGATGATATAGGTATAAAAATGATAATTGACATAAAATAAATTATATTGACAGATCACCTGGATGGATATACTATCATTATATTATATCAGTTATTCATAGTTGTTGTACCCATATAGATCTTTTCTTTTTGAAGTTTCCATTTTCCTAATTTTATATGTATTTCATGATTATTTTTATTTTACTTAGTGTAAACTTGTTGCTGGTGCTGAGCAACAATTTTTTTCAAGACATGGGGGTATCTGCGACAAGCACACATGTATATCATGCTTAATGTTCATCCTGGCTTGGTACTTTGTTTTCATTGATGTCATAGCAGAAAATCCAGCTTCACATATGTAGGTGGTATTAAACGGTATCAATACATTCAGTGCTGCAGAAGATGCAGTTCTGTGTTCATCAAAAAACTCTCACCAAAGTGTCTCCAGCAGTATTTTGTTAAACCTGGTTCTGAGGGAGCTGTCTGATGAAATGTCAATGTGCTGTTCCTATAGTTTTAGTGGGACAATGGATGGAAGTTTAGCTTCAATATTCTCACTAAAGCGGGTTGTAATCCACATGTGTGTAGTGGCTTGTTCCATCATGAGTTCAGGGAAATAAGCATTAAATTTGTCAAGCAGGCCAGATAGACTGCTAGCTGAGGTTTAATTATGTCAAAGTCAATATTTCTTTCCTGAGTGAAAGAATGTAAGAGTTCAAACATATCAGTAATGTCCCCACAGACATGAACTTTCCATAGTTGTAGTTTTCTTTTGAATGCCTCAATTCTTTCACACCGGGCAATAAAATTAGTGCTCCCACCTTGTATAGTTTTATTCAGTTTATTATTTTACTGAATATGTCTGTTAGGTAACCCAGTTTTGCCAGCCACACACCATCTTTCAGCATTTTGGCAAGTTCAGGTTTCCTATTGGCTAAGAAAGTATATTTAATCTCAAAAGATGAATTATAAGTAAGCCTCTGCCTTGAGAGAGCCACCTCACTTTTGTATGCATAAGCAGGGAATGGTGCTCTGCCCCCACTTCCTCACGAAGTGCAGCAAAGCACCTGAAGTTTGTTTCTTTGGATTTAATTAAGTTAACTGGAGTGTTACCGCTGTGTTCAGTACACTGTGAACACCTAGTTCAATATCTTTAGCAGCAAGCGCCTCACAGTGTGAAAAACAATGTGTCCAAATAGCGCTAGGTGCAATGGCTTTTATTTTCTGCACAACACCAGAATGCTTTCCAGTGATTGCTGTAGCTCCATCAGTGCAGATCCCAGTGGAATTTGTCCAGCTGATTTCTGCAGAAATCATAAAATCATCTAAAAGTGTGAAAATGTTGTCTGACTTCCTTGTCATCTTGATCTCTTTGGAAAACAAAAAGTCTTCCTTTATTTCCTTATTCCACACATACCAAACATAGGCAAATAAATGGGACATTTTTGAAATGTCTGTGAATTCATCTAATTGTATAGCAAAGTCATTCTCACACAGCTGATCAATGCACTGCAAAACTATGTCTTTAGACAGAAGTGATCTGTTGTTTGACCCTGTCATTTGAAATAGGTATTTTTGCAAGTACCTTGGCCTTCTCCTCTCCAAACTTTTCCTTTGCAATTTCAGTAGCACGTGGCATTATTAAAATCTGAGCAATGGTATGTGATTTTTTTGCTTTAGCAGTTTTCTGCACCACTATGTAGGCTGTTACTACAAGCTTTTTATCCATAGTAGTTGTAGATTCATTACTGCTTTAGTACCAAGCAGTTCCTGGGCCTTTATCTCAAAAAATGAACGTTGCTTGTCCTTATTGATTTCATGCTTTGTAATTAAATGTCTATGTAATTTTGAGGGTTTTAACGTTCAATGGACAAGTATTTGTACACCAATTACACACTGCTTTTGAGGTGTATCTCCACTTCCAGAACAAATGAAACCAAAATTTGAATAGCTGTCTTCATATTTCCTAAATTTTGCAGTTATGAATTATTTTGTTTCTTATTCACACCACCTCCCTGGTGTTCTTCAGCCCTTATTTGGTTGAACATGTCGAAGAAAGCTCAGTATCATTACTCCATGAATGTTGTTGTTTTGATGCTGATGGTCAAATTAAAAATGTATGTGTAACTGATGTTTATTGTTTATGTACAACGATTTTCCTTTTGCTGTGTATCTTTTTGTGCTCTTACTGAAATAGCTCCTTTATACTTTACATGGAGTAAATGGAGAAACTGTTATGTAATCTGAGAATGTGAAAGTGTTAATTTCATTGAAGCCAATAGGTTTCAACATAACATGCAGGAAAATTAACATGGTCTCTGAAGCCTGCTGAGAATAATCATAATATTAATAATAGGCAGTACTGGTTTCTAAAATAAGAAGCATAAGGGAAATGAATGACTAAAAAGTAACTCAGTTTGCTTACTTTATCTACTTCCAGTCTTATTTTAGAAACATAGTGTATAAGAAGAAATATTAAATGAAATACATGTGTTCTTAGCTCTTCATATGCAATGCCAAATATAAATACTAAGGTACGAAAAACAATGTATAAAGAAAATTGAGATTATTTAATTGCATTGGATCCTGTGCAATTAAAACAATTTCACATCAGTCTCTTAGTTCTTGCATTTCATATTTCTCCTTAAATATGTATTTAGTCTTTTATTTAATTCAGGCCTATTTATTTTTTCCAGGTCATTTAAGAATGGTTTTGTTGAGCAATTTCCTCCAGATTTCTCTAAAGCAAATATTAATCATCCTTTATACTGGCTGTCTTGCTTAGCATCTTTTTGTCCTTCACTTAAGTGAGTATCTCAGTTTTGTTGTCGTGTAACAAGCATTGCATGGTAAATACTGGTCTAATATTGATACAATATTACACATATAGTATACCGAGATAAAATAGGCAGTTGAAATAATATATTACACTTGTTCTGAATTTGCATGTTTCACCAACTGAAAAGAAGTTCTGTTATTAAAGCTTCAGTAATCTGTAATAAGACTCAGGTTGAAGGCAGCATATGTATTATGTTTGATATTTGAATTATTTTCAAGATATTTTAATGAAACCTAAAGTTATACTGTTCTTGAAAAAAATGTAGGCTTTAGCACAGGTACAGCTTTCATGATGTATAATTTAGGACAAAATAATGAACTTAAATCCCCGTCTTTACTAAAGTTGGTCAAAAAAGAGGTTGATATTTAAATAACTCATTGAAAATACGCCAAATTTTTCCACTGCCTAGTTGTGTTTGATTTTTAGGGTGCTTACTGCATGATTAGAAGCAAGTGCTTAATTTTACTTTCTGTGTCATTGCCTATAATGACAAGTTATATATGAGACATATGCTACCAGCTGTGCTGTCGTTTGCTTTCTAATTTTGGACCCAAAGTACTCCCACACCCATGGTAAGATCTTCTCCTAACCCCTTTGCCTCCTCCCTCTCCTCAATAAATTATTTTGACTTCTGGCATTTTCCAAGAGATCTTCCCCTCTGTTTTTCATATTTTAGATGTTTTGGTAAATATTCAGATTTACTATAAGAAAAAATTATTTTCTCTTTCAAAAGAAAAAGAAAAAAAGAAATATGCTCTGTTCCTGAGGTCACATTTATGCTGGCATTCAAGAGTGTAATGAATAAGCAAGGATCTTAAGCTTTAAGCCATTTTGGTTCCTTTATTTGTAGGTAAATCCTCAAAATGTAGCAAATACTGTGAATCGTCCCAGGGGAGGATTATCCTTGCCTCACCCCTGTATTGCTTTCAGAGAAAGGGGTGGTAAAACCAGCCACCACAGGGTCCTTTTATGCAAAGCCTTCATGAAGACATTCATTCCTACTGGAAGAAATTTCTTCCAGTAGAAAAGTAGACCAGGACCTGGACAGTAAAGATTTTCCTCCAGCCCCAGGTGTAGAGAGCTTCACTGATGAGCTCTCTAGCTAGGGGTAGTATAGGACTGCTCCTAGGGCCACCCTGGCCTTTAGGAGAACCATTTAATTGACTGCTTGCCCTCTCCCGTGCCTAGGAAGGAGCAGGCTGTCAAATGGAAGTTGGCAGCTACTGGAAAGCAGCAGCTACCACAGAAAGCTCTAGGAGGATGCCATCTCCCCCCCCCCCCCCCCCCCCCCACAACCCGTGCCACCAATCAGCTGACTAGCAGAAGTGGGCCATTCTTCCATGGTGGGAAGAGCAGTACAAAGAGCAGGGGAGCATTTAGCCACTGTAGCAAGACTCCAGTAGCTTTGCCACAGGGGTGCAGCAACCTACATCACCCTGCACTGGTACGGGTTGACTCAGAGCAATGCAGAGTGAGGTGGGGGCATTTTGATCATGGCAGCAAGGCTCCCAAATCTTGCCACTGTGGCACAGCAGACTTCTGCATCCCCCTCTGCTCCAGGTCAGCAAAATGCCAAAGATAAGTCACCAGGGCTGGGAGCCAGGCTTGGGGAAAGCCGCCACACACCAGGCTCCCCACCTCTCCAACTGTTAAATTGCTACCCCTGCCACCCAACTGAGTAATGAGGTGGGGGTGGGGAAAAGAGGATGCTGGAAGAACTCGGAGCTAGAGGTCCTCTGGCTTTCCTCCCAGGCCCTTTTGGCTTTTCAAACATCATCAACTAAGCAGCAGCTGGAGGCAAAGGAAAGCAGGCAGGGGGCTGTCAAACCAGGAAAGCCTGGCCCCAGGAGATGTTAACCCAGGGGAAGGTGTGCAGAAATCCAGTCTTCTGGGAGAAACTCTCCTAGGAGTCTTTTAACCCTGGTTGTTTCTGGGTTGTTTTTCTCTTGGAGAGGCTATTTTTGCTCCAGGAGAAAAAGTATGAATGTCTGTAAACAATTTTTTTGTTTTGTTTTGTGATGCTCTCAGTAGAAATTGAACACCTGTACATGGCCAAAGGGGAGTATGTTCTGTGACCAGTTACATAAAGTGAAATCTTAGCCCCATTTAAATGGGTAGCAAAACTGTCATTTACTACTTTATAATCATAATTTCACCACTGGCCTTTCAAGCAATTTTGTCCTGGAGGGGTGCATCTACACGTGTAATTATGGCACCTGAATAAACTGCAGAAGTTATTCCTCTGAAGTTAATTGCTCCCAGGCTTACCATTTGAACATGCACCTAGGAGCAAATCAGCAGTTCAGTTTATTCAGGCGCAGCACATGAAGCCTGTGCAACACAACCCCAACTGGCAGGGGGTCCCAGGGGTCAGCCTGCGAGTCCGGGGCTGCTTCCCTTGGTGCAGTGTGCTACAGATGGGCTGGCTGAGGCATGAGGGAGCTTCAGCATGAGGCTAATAACCAGGCAGTATCTACATGTGCTATTTATAAGTTCTATCCTGCTGCAGAGTAAATTAGTTTACTCCAGCCTAATAGGGGCACAAATATAGTTGCTCATTAGTCAAATGTGCAGTAAATGTCTTATGTAGACATGCTTGAGGAGTAGCAGAAAGCTGCTTTAAAATACTCAAGGCCTAAATATTTCCACCTTGTGGGAGAAAAATCAGAGGAATATAAATGAGGAATTCCAGGCACTGCCTTTCCCACTTAAGAAATAACTTTCTCAGCACAGTGAATTGAAAGGGAAAGAAGAGTGCAAGTCCTTGTGTGGACAGTGTGTCATATGGCCAAAAACTCATGCAGGAATTGACAGAAAAATAGAAAAATATTTAATTCCTGGTTTTGACAACAAAACATTTACCTGTTCAGAAAATTCAGTAAAAGATTCATAATTTAATTTCCTTGAAAAAGGGCCAGAATTTGTGAATTATTGATTTTGCTCTGAATGTTTTTTACTGTGCATTAATGTTAATGGAAGTTTCTTTCTTCTCGTCCCTTATTGCTATATAAACAATAAAGAGTGAAAAAAATATACAAATTACAGAAAACTTTTCTTTTAAAATATTCTGAATCCTTCTTATTTTATGTTTTCAGCTTTATGCCTCATGGTAAATTGAATCCTATTACAACAAAGTTGATAACAAATTTATTTGTTCAGATCAGTCCTTGAAATCTTTAATATTTTAAGAATTCTAAATTTCTGCATATATTAGTTTATATTTTGTTTCTTTAACATTTTTATAATTTTTGCTTAAAGTATATCGGGATTAATTTTCCATTTGTCTAATAAAAATATTGAATTTTTCACATTTATTTTTCATCTTGAATTTCAAATGAAATAGCACATTTGTTTATTCAACTTTAATGACTAGTTAATGAATATTAATGTTCTTTTAGTGATTTGCTTTTGTGGCTTATAGGTTGCTTTCATATAATCTTACCTTGTGCAAATCAACATTTCTCTCTTTTCCTACTATTAGAAAACTGAACATTTATATGTGTGATATTTATATATACTTCACCTTTTGTCTCTTTTATGAGGCTAGTCTTATGTTCACTGCTACATGAGCTAGGAGGATGATAGAACATATGCCTCTCCATATGTCCAATACAAAACTTCTCAGTGCATTTATTGGTGCTAGTTTAGTGGCTGTAGGGAATGTCTGCAATATTTTATTTTTCCTCTGAGTGAGTCACACCACTGTACATTTCAATTTGCAGGAGACGTAAAGAGCCAAGAACAGGTGTATATTGCAATATGATAACTTCCCATCTGGTCAATGACAGACAAGTTTTATTTCTACCCAAATATTCTAAAAAGGGCAATTATATATATTTTTAAGTAATTTAAAAATATTATTCTTCACACACCTAACTGACCAACCCCCTTCCTTTTCTCATATTTTGAAGGCAATGGAAGGCATTGGTAGGAAGGATGCTGTAGAAATATATGAAATACACATGAAGACAGACACAAACATCCTTGTAATGTCACTGAATTAATGAAAATATAGAGTTCACACTTAAGTCAGAATATTAAAGCTGTTACTTTTAATAGTAGTAACTGTTTAATTTTTACTTGTCTAGTAGTGTAATTACAAATTTGTTTTTGTTCATTTGTTGAAACCAGTTATCTTCAGAAAGTGTAATTTATTTTTTTAAAAGTGATTCGTAATGGAAGGGATTATCCCTGAAAGTTTAATTGCTGTAAAAAGTGCAAAAAAGTCTTTACTTCAAGTTCTATCAAGATTTTTATTCGTATATAATAATACACATTAAAATATATCTTAAATTAGCAGTGATGTGTAATGTTAATACATTAAAAATGTCATTGCCAAGTAATTAAGGTTGCTACATGCATCACATACCTGATGCTAACCCATAAAAGCATCAAAATGAACAGTTATGGCACATACTTCACTCGTATGCCCATCTATTGTCAACTACTGCTCAACTAGTACTACACTAAAGACCATGTATTGCAAGTATAATTCCCTTCTGTCACATGACCTTCTTTACTTCTTTACCAAAGTATCCTGTTAGTAATGTATGTTTGGCATAGTAATGTGTTACATTACTTCAAGATCCTAAGGAGTTAACACTGCTGTTGCTTGCCCTTCCCTTTCCCCCTGCTGCCCATATTAGTTGCGAGGAGCAACTAAAAACCCTACATTTCTGTAGTGGTAATAGTTTAGGGGAGGTAAACGACATTAACTTTGTGGGTTCTGGAGCCAGCTGCAGGGATTAACACTCCCAATGCAGGGTCTCCCGCAACTCTTGCAACAAGTCCTGTAGACTGAATTTGACCATGGATTCAGTGGTCCAGCCAGTGAGAAGTCCTCGAGCTGGGTGACCCACCTTTGTGGGCTGGATTCAAGCCTGTAAACTATATGTTTAACACCCCTTGGCTAGGGACAGATATTACACATAAACCAGTATAAGTGATCAGAAACCAGTTCAAATCTGTAACACAACAGAAGTTCAGTGCACATAAACCACCTTCAAAGTGGCCAAAACTGATTTAAGATAAACCTGGATGGAAGTAGTATCAGACTTAACTGATTTAGGTTAAATTGGCTTATTGAACTTCTGTCACAGATCCCTTGAGATTCAAATTAACTCACAGTTCCCCAGCATCCCAGGATGCTTTGCATCTCCTGTGCAAATGCCTCACAGATTGGGCACACTAACTTAGGCCCATGCTTTCTGTTCCAGCCAAGCAGGGAGGCATGCTCTAGTGCCCCTTCCCTCCCCTCATCAGCTTCTGGGCTGAGTTACTGCAAGCATGTTGCTGCTTTTTTATAGTAGCCTTAACTGAACAACAATGTTTTTCATGTAATAATTTACAAGGAATTTTTAATGCTTAAATGGAGATGGGTTGTGACAGACCTGTGGAAGTAGAACTACAGCAGCACCTGACAAGAAAGAGTTTTTCAATCAGCAGCTGCCACATGAAACATGTTCAGTTATGTGCCACCAGCTGTGCATAAATGGCACATAAACTTTCTGTACAGTTATACATAAATCCTTCTCCAGTCTAACAGAAAAGTGTTGCTTCTATTGAAGAAGGTTTGATTTAATAGAAAAAGATGGGAGTATGAGCTCTGGTGGGTAGAGTTTATGCATGTATAGTTTATGCACCAGTGCACAAAAAATGTATGTACACTAATTTTGCACATACATTACATATATTTTCTTCATTGATAACTATTGATCCATAAACTGACAACCAAAATGAGTAATAGGTAAAAGTCACCCCAGATTCAAACACTGGTAAGTTTTTTGGGTAACTGGACAATGGCTTTGGAAATGTCATTCAACAATGAAAGAGAAGACAATAAGGGAAAATTTCCAACCCTTTCAACCCTATATGTGATGCAGCATGTGAACACAGCTGGGGGTCACATTCCTCAAAGTTTATTGGCTAACACTTCACTCTTGTGCCTGATGTTTGAAGGGCTGAATAAAATAAGGGTAGCTGACTGGTAAAGGCAGTTAGGGTGTGCAAAGCAGGCAGTATTCGATTCGGATTCGGCCTGATTCAAGAGACAGTGATTTGATTAATTGATTTGGATCAATCTTACAATTCGATTCATCTGAATCTGAAGATTCGATTCTGATTCGGAAAATCATCGATTCGGCCATAGATGCAGCTTTATATGGGTTTTTTTTACATATCTCTAGGTACTGGGTGCGGCTTGTGAACACTGAGATGGTGGGGTGGATTGAGCATCCCTCAGGAGTGCAGGGAGGCCCCCTGCATGCTCGGTGGTGAACCTGAAAGTGGACCAGAAGCACATCCGGTCCAAATCTCCTCCAAATCGAATCAGTGACTGAAGCTTCACACAGCCCTAAAGGACTGTACAGTTACCAGGTTCACTAGGGAGATCAGATTGGCAGTCCTCACCCTGCAACCACTGACAGGATTGTCAGCTGCAGAGCTGCTGAGGAGGAAATTGCTGTATTTCTTTATCTTGTTCAGACTGTTGCTGTCCCCATTTCCTGGCCCCTTTTTTGGGATTGTCTAAGAAGTAAGGAGAACAAATGTGAAGGCAGAAAGCTTGGAGAAGTAATAGAGTGGGTGGATGTTTCTGTAGCACTTCTATTGAAGGGGGCAGAGAGAGGGAGGGAAGTGCTACCTCTAATTGAAGAGGTTGCTTGCAGTAGCCCGGTGCCCCACATTATAGAATCAAAATAAAAATTAATTGTGTTTCTAAATATTTCATATTTAAGTTTGTTGTAGTAGTCAGTAACTGAGCTATGGGGAAGTCCTTTGATGTAAGCCCTTTGGCAGCCTGATTTTTGCTAACACACACACACACACACACACACACACACACACACACAATTACCAACCCCCCACTTAAAAAAAAAAAAAAGAGAGAGACGTCAACATTAAATAGGTTATTTTGGGAGTAGAGGCTCTTTCTCAGTAAATGTATGACCAAATTAACCCAAATTTTCATCATATCTACTCATGGCCCTTTATTGACAAAGCAATTTTCAGGCCATCTGATTTTAAATGTAGATTTTGCAGGACATTCAACATGCTGCTTAACCTATGAGCTGGTATCATATATGCACTACTTTGAGCACTTTTATTATTTTTATCAGCTTATTCTTTATTTCAGATATTTCATAGCCTTGTGCTAAACAATTAATGTATTACTGAACTAAAATATTATAACCTCAGATTTATTCAAGCAAGAAAAATCATTTTTCTCTCACGGAACAAGAATATACATGGTTCCACAGAAGAGATAAGTGAGGTTACTTTGTATCAGTTATAAATTTGGCAGACTACCAAATGTTAATTTGCTTTTAGCTAGTTGAGATTAAATGTAATTCCTTCCCTGAGCAGCCTTAAAGTAAGCAAGCATGAAAGCATTTTCAAAGTAATCTGGGAGGAATTGACATTTAAAGGAGTTAGCATTACATCTGCACTTTAAGGCTATTAATTTCATAGATAAATTAACTACATTATTCTCTCTTTATCTTACATTTTGAAAGGACTCCATCAGCCGGAGAAATGGCAGCCCAGGGTCAACTGAAACTGCTCTTATCCCAACCATGTTGTAATTGGAACTTGCTTTTGGAAACCCTGATACATCGTGATTGTCTCTTAGTGAAAATTTTATTGAAGAGTTCAAGTAAGTATTTGTGCTGTGTACATGTGTAAGAATATCAGTAAGAAGTACCAATATGTTCTTGAGCCCTGCTATATTTTTCACAACTTGAATGCTGATAAAAAGATGCCAACTAATAGTGGGCATCAATAATCATTCAGTTAGCAAGACAGATACTGAATAACAAAAAGAAGGCTTTCTTACTTTTTACTATGAGAATTGTTCAATCAGTCTGAACAGTTGAATTATGAAATCAGGTAACATTTTGATAAAATAAGTTATTATCATAACTATGAAAATCAGCTTCTAAAAAGTGAATGATTTTGGAGTTGTTACTATTTTTATGAAAATTAATTTAAGATTCCAATATTTTAGAATTAAGATTCTAAAAAGTTACCTTTAAAATATTACAGATTTTTCAACAGTGAAAAAGATATTTTGTGTATGTTATTGCAGGCAAAATTTGAAATGGCAGCTAAAATGGCATTTTCCTTTATATTAATGTCATGGTTTCTTTATATTAATAGGTTGAGGTGTGTAATTATAAGAGATACAGAAAAGCAAATGAAAGAATGGTCCAACATTGGTTTTCCTATTTTATTCTGCTAATATTATATTTGAAAATATTAAACATTCTTACCTATCATTTTAGGAGCTTTCATATAAAGTGATTAGGTTATTGAACAGCTAGTGGTATAATTACTAATTTAGAATAATGATTGCAGTAACATTGAGTTATATTATTAAGAATTAGTTTCTATCATTCTTTGCAACAGAACTTTTTGTTACATATCACACAAAATATTAGGTCCACGTAATATTAAACATAACATAATTTAGGTCTGTCATTTTTAAGTGGTCTAACATTTGTCAGAAGTACAACATTGCTTCAACTTCTGTCATGCTTCTTATTGAGTGCTGCACTGCATTCACTTAGCTATTCAAATACCTGTCATCTTTTACAAAGACTGACAAATGTTTGATCAGGATCATATTCTTACTCTGGCATTATCCTGTAGTGAATTTTCCAGCTGCTTAAATTATCACAAGGATGAAGTGACAGAATTTATTAATCTATTGACTGACCAACCCTTTGAGCTTCAAGCAAGTACATATGTTGCTTAGAGTTAAAAAGCATGTAATTTGCAAAGGCTCTGTTACTAACCTTACAATAATGATATTGATAAACTTTTATTTCACATAAAACTGAAACTACAATAGTTATTTGCTTCTAGAGTTCTAATTTTTCAAATTAAATATGTACTATGAAAATTACCATCTTCTTTCATTATAGATTTGTGGGAAAGATGCATTAAGTGATATAAAATAATACACTTTGTAAAGCAACAAAACACGTTTATCAAATAGCATTTCTAATAAAGCACTTTTCTCTTTGATGGCAAACTGATATAGTTTTGATTATATGAATTTTATAATGGTTAAAAATTCATCAAGTGTGGTTGTACAAAATTCCTTTCTAAAGCAATTAAGAATGATCAAGAACTATATCTTAGGGATAAATAGTAGTATATCTTATTTTCTTAGTAAGGACAAAAGTCAGTACTATAGAAACGTGTATTTCACCAGCAGTAGTATTTTCTTAATCAGATACTACATGCAAGTTGTTAAAAAATAAGTATACTATAAATTTGGATTTCGGCATTATGAGTATCCACATCACAAAACTGCCTGAACTAACTTATTTTCACAGCATAAATAATACTGAACTTTTTAAAAAGGTAAAAATATGCTTTTCAACTTTTTCCTTTTATACATGCAAAAAACCAAAAAGATATCTGCCAGCACAAATTATATTTAAATGAGTGCTTTTATGTTTTGGATGTTTTTAGACGGTGATAATCACTCATATCATGCCAGTGCATTTGTGCTCATTATGTTATACATCATTCAAGCACACAGAGTTAGACTGTTGTCCCCACCTTCCCTTATGTGTCTGCATCAGTGGGTGGAAGAAACTTTTCCCATCTTTACATGGCCTGAATTAGAAGTGCTCAGTCATTAAACTGTGCCCAAGAACAATTGTCCAAAAAAAAGGAGAGTGAAAGGAACTGGAGGTAGTTGTGGTCTACCTACTGTTGCTAACTGTAGATTTTATTGAAAATCTCTTTTTATTCAGTGTTTTTATTCAAAATCTACCTCCTGGCGTCATAGGCTCACATAAAAGTCCAAGATCTCATTAAGAAAGTTTCTTGCTCTTGTGATTATGACAAAAAGCCAGAAACATAAACCCTTTATATATAAGGTAAGTAATGATATAAAAAGATGGAAAAACCATTATCTTTTAAAAATCTCACGATAATTTGAAGCCTGAGTCTTTTTAAAAAATGTTTTGTTTACTTTTGATCTCATGTAGCTTTGCTGCATTCATCAAAGGCATGCCACAAATTACTCTGTTTTCCCCTCTTGGTGTCACCAGAGCTCAAACAAAATGCTTCTAGGACTGTCTTTAAAGATGATATCCAGTATTTACGGCGCTAGCTTATAAATTGGGAGACTGCAATCCCCTACTGTGCCACACTTTCCTGGGGCAACTCATTTAGGCCCACAGCCACATAAGTACTTAGGTGCCTAAACTAGATGCTGGATATATACAGAATATAAGCATCCAAATCCTCAGAGCAGGGTACATAGAATTCTTGTTCAACTGCTTAGATGCTTGAAAACCCTCAAGCACTTCAGGTTATGCCGATAAAGTATACTAGGCACCAAAAATACTGCTACTACTAGTTTGAATGACCAGAATTATTGCCACCTTCTCAATTCTGGCTGTTGTAGTGCCTAGCTCATGCCTTAAGTCAGTGGTTCTCAAAATTAAAATCAAGTAGAAAGACCTGGATACAGCAGAACAAGTATTGAAATCAAGATCTTATCTATTCTTTGTAAATTAATGGGATTACTTTAACAAGATACATGCTTTCCTGCTTTCTCCATCAGTTTCCCCTGCAAATTAAAAAAACTGGGATCCAAAGTTTTGGCCAAGTACTCAGATCAGAAAAGGAGAACACTAGTGGTGGGTGTGGGAACCATTTTCCAAATGGCTGAAGTTTGAACTCCCATTTTGTTAATGGAGAAAATAAAGGATATGCTAACAAGAATCAAAGTGACCAAAAGATGTTTAAAAAAAAACCTGGAACAGGAGCTGGAATCATAACAAGAGAAAATAAAGTAATATCTGTAGGTTTCCCAGAACAGCTGATAGATGACTTGCATGCAGAGATAAAATATCTGTTAGGAAAGCAATTGCAAGGTGTCTGGACAGATTAGGAAAATTTATTGCTAACATGCCCAGTCAGGAATGGCAGCATGGATTAATTAAATGACCACCCTTACTACACCTGGGTCAGAAGAGCCTTTATGAAACAGGAAGGCAAACGTGTTCTGGGTAATTTGGGCCTTACTAAGAGAGAGAAGCTGCAGCAAGGACCTAACCAACTGAGAAATTATCTGTAGAAGGAAACCATATGATTACAAATCTCAAGGAAGTCTTTGTGTGGAATTGGCCCAAGATGTGGACTTAGGTATGATTTTCCACCCTATTTGTACAGATGGGGAACTTTCTTTGTGGGGAAGAACACTCTAGTATTTGGCTCAGTTCAGTATCAAGAGTGAAATGAATTTTTTAGAAGATTCCTGCTCTGATGGTGCTACATAACTTAAACCTAGAACAGGGCTCAATTAACCAGGATCTGCTCCAAGCCCTTGATATGCAATTTTGGAATCAATGATCAAGTTGATCTTGCTGTGTTATGTTCAAAGCTAAAAGGGAAGGGAAAAATGAGTCTTCATATGAAATAGCAGGTCTTGAGATTTGTGCTTAACATATCCATCTAGGACTGCTAGGATAAATTGGCAATGGACCAACTTATGGATACTCAGCTGGAATTGCTCTTGCAGCGAAAGGAGGCAAAAAATGCTCTTAAAAGTTGTGGAATTTGCCATGGAACTTGAATCATTTCTTGTAGCAAGATGCCAAAAAAGGAAGGAGTTGGTAGTGAGGAAGATGGAAACAGACACTTGTCAAAAACTGGGAAATTGGATTTGAAAAAATAGACCCTTATAATTCAGAAAAGATTTCTAGGTAACTGAAAGAGCAGGTGATCTAATGATCAGTGGGCACATCTACACATGATGCTTAACTGCTCAATAGCCTAGTTTACTGTACAATAAGCATGTGCGTCTACATGTGCACATGCTTACTGCGGAGTAAAAGTAGCTAATTGTGAATAAATTTGCTACCTGCAGATTTACTTGCAATTAGTTCCTGCATAGTTATGCACATGTAGATGAGGTCTGTCAGCAAATTTGCTCCCAAATCAGCCCTGCCTCTAAGGGGCCAGCCTGAGGCTAGCCCCAGGGCTCTGGGCTGGGAGCCTCTCCTGCCCCAGGGCTGGGCTGCCTCTGTGGCAGCCCCTCCCTCAGATCCTTAAAAGCCTGCAGGCATTTTGAGCCCTGGGGCACACTAGCATGCAGCCCAAGGCCCCTCCAGGCATGACTGGTCAGCACGGCAGTACTGCACAAAGGTCAAAGCCTTTGCGGGTACAGTGGGTCACTGTGACCAACCACACTCATCAGGTCAGGAGTGCCTGCAAGTCTGTGCCCTTTATGCAGCAACTGATGGAGATCGTTGCACCCTGGGATCCAGGCCGCAGCCCCTGCCCCTGCCACTGCCCCAGCCTACCTTGACAGGCCCAGACCCAGCCACAAAGTGCAGCTAGCTAGCCATGACACTGCTGGCTGCCAGCAGTGCCACCTCCTCCCCAGGGGAGGCCCCCAGCTGGTCACCTGCACGCCATGGCCCGCCTTATGAGGACACCGCCTAGAGCCATATACCATTGTTGCGAGCCAGGACCGAATGGAGCCACCGGCTATGCCAGCCACATGGTAAGCCCCTCACTGGGGGGAGGACCCTCCCGACCCCTGCCCCCCCTCCCTGCCTGGTCCAGCTGTACTCCCCTGGCCCTGGGTCCCCCCCACCCCCCTAGCATGCAGAAAGGTGGGAGACA